TTAGGAAACCAGTGTGTAATGTATAGGCCATAATTCATATTTTGAATGGATAGCATTCTTATTATTTTCATGAATTTTTAAACTGCAAAAACAAACAATTAAAACTTTTCATTAAATATTTAGATTTAAAAAATATTGGAAAGAAGGGTTTTCACCAGTCTTTCTTTTGAAGGATCAGCCCTTTAGAGTATTGGTGTCCGACAGAGAAAAAAAAGGGAAGTAATTAAAAAAGAAGAGAAAATAAAGCTGAAAAATAAGCAGACAGAATGAACTTATTTGGTCAGCTGACTCATACCAGAGCAATGCTTAAAACCTACGCAAAAGTCTGGAAAATAAATAATATTCTACTGTGGGATTTCCTTTTCCTTGGTCCTTGGAGAAAATCTCTCTATTTAACTATACAGCAACCAGCTCTCTGCTCCTCTTTATAAGCTCTTGTGCTTGGCTCTGTTCTGTYGGAAACAGCTCCCTTTTATCTTTCACCTAGGTGGTGATTACTCCCCATGTTTAAGCTTCTGCATGATGGAGAGATGAGAAAAATATCACACAAAATGCAAAATCACTTTCTGCAATTCCCTTGTGGAGGAAAGCCTACATCAGAGCCTACGGGCACAGCCCTTTTTCAGACCCAGTTCCTGCAGTGCAGTCTCTGGACAGCAATTGCTGCAGAAGAGTAGCCAAGAAGTGACACCTTGGACTTAGACAACTGCCAGGGCTGATTAAATATTYCTTCAATGCCCGCATTTTTCACCCAGGTCTTGAGGATGTCTAAATGCATTATACACGCAAAAGGAAAATCCAGGGAAGACATACATCATCAAACACTTTTTTAATCCTTGTAAGAGCATTTGGAATAACAGCAGGATTCAAAACACTTCCTTTGTGAGTGCATTTGTTTCAACACTCTTGATGGGCTGCTAGGTATTAAAGAAGCTATTAGAAACTCTGCAAGAACCCACTTTTGCCTGAACTTCCACATCATGCAATCTTCCAGCAGACTAGAGCTGGAAGTAAAGAATGGTAGAGAGAACCCCAAGAGTCTGTGAAGGGATAAACCGATTGCACAGTTCAGCTGCAGGCKGACACAAGCTCAGATGCTCAAATTTATTTAGACAGCAGACTTCTATTGGTTTTTCAGGTGATTTAGACTCCTTGGCATCATTAAAACTTACATACRAAGTAGATTAAGAAGTGTCCTCATGAATGCGTAATTCTGGGTGAAGGACTATTGCAAATCCCAAGAATAGATGTGGCTACAGATTTTATTAGAACATTAATACATTTTTCATGTGTACTAGGCTTCCTTGCCTACTCTTCWGAGCCAACTCCCATATTATTAAGATTCTCCTTATTAATTTTCCATATTCTGTCTACAACATTTTTTTTTTAGGAAACGCAGGAAAGGAGCATCTGGAAAAACCTAAACTGATATATAAATCATGCACATAGACACTATTTTTTTCTGTCATGTTTCTGTAGTTCCTAGCATAAAGAGACAACCAAATCAATAATTCCTGTGAGATTATCCGGAGGCATATCAGTTGTGCCATTTTTAGTGAGCAAACAAACCCAAAAAAACACCTGGACTCTACGAGCCTGAACAAGCAGGCACTACATACACACAAATGGATCTGCATGTCCAAAGGCACACAGAAAGCACACAGCAAAATAAACCAGGCCAGCCAGGAAAACCCCTCAGCAGCTCCATAGCATTAATTCTTCTCAATAAAGGAAATCCTTAATAAGCACTTTTGAAAAAGGTGGACGAGTTAGATGAACTTTTTTGARCATAGARCAATAGCAGCAGTCAGAACTCCTGKTTCAGATCCCTGTGAGAGAGAAMTGCTAAAGAAGCCAGGTGACAACACCTGGAGTGTACAAGAGCTTCATGCTACTCTGCTGTGGGTGGGAGGCTCTGTGGGTCCCTGTCCCTCCAAGTGGGGAGCTCTTCAAGGGCCCATAAGACCTCCTCTCCTCAGCTGCCACCACTACCTCTCCAGGAATATTATTGCTATTTCTCAGCTGAATCCTCTCCTGCCTGCTTCAAACCAGAACAAAAGTAGAGATTCAGACATGTTTAATGGTTGATGATTTTTTTTCTTTTTTCCTTTGTGGGTTTATGGTATGTTTTAGCCTCGACAGAACRAGTTTTCCAATACTGATGGGACTTGGAGCATCAATCCACCAGAGTTTAACCTTCTCCCAGAGGCAGCTCTCTGAAACAAAATCAGCCAAAATGGTGTCCAAATGCTATAAAAAAAGAGGGAGGCGGCTGTATTTTAGCATCCATAAAATGAGTATATTTTACTCGAGTATCCACAAGATACTTCTGCTAGCCAGCATGGGTGGGGATTCAGTTCTGCTTTTTGTTTTTCAAAGAAGATTCCTGGATTTCTATGAGAAAACTTATATTGTGTTAAAACTGAGAAAGAACCACTCTTTCCGAGCACGATTTCTCTCCAGGAAAACATCACAGACAATACCGACACTTCAGCATACTTTCTCTCACTACTGAAGAAAGCCAGCACAGAGCAAAAGTTGGCCAACACCTCCTTCACCTTTATTCAAAAGCATCCACAGCTGGGCTGAGATTTTTGAGATTTGCTGAATACAGGTTACAGTCTGCCTTCTCCCTGGCATCTACACAGGGCAGTTTCACTGCTTCGCAATGCAGAGCAAAACACAGAGGACACTGACACGAAGGTTTGGCACACAAAAGGTTTAGGGAATTTCTTCAGACTTAACTCTTTTTAATTTTATTTCATTTGAGAGCCACCATTCACCACTAATTAAAGCAGCCATTGAAATAAAACTACTCTGGATAAACTTCCAGAAATGCAGGCTAAATTATTGTTCTGCCCCTTCCCTGAAACCTCTTGTGAGCCCTCACTGTTAATTCAGACACTGGCAGGTAACACTGTCTTTCAGCCCTCTTATGCAACTTGGATTCCAACATGTGCAAGAACTAACATGTTTCTCCAGATGGATTTGCTTTCCCAGGCTCCTACCTTCTCAGCAACGTGAGGTACTTTGTGTGGAGTCATCTCAATTTCCTTTGAAACCCCATCTTTCTAAATACTTAGATCTTTTTCAGAGATAAGAAAAGTCAGTTGTATATTTATATTGAGCCATCAAACACACTGAAAAGAATSTATCTGAGATTCCAGGCACCATGGCTAAATAATAAAAATATAGTCAGTCTTATGCAAACAAATGTGTACACACTAGCCGCCTCAAAATCTCACAGAGTAAAAAATTACTCCTGCCACAGATTCCCCAGAAAACAAACCAACCAAGGGTTGGTACAGCCCTTCCTACTCTGAAAACATCTAGGGCTTTGCTTGTAGTCCCTAAATGCTGGACAATCCAAACCACACTGTTTTAAGTCACCATCTCTTTTCCTGCTTCCATGAATACAAGTACTGCAATTGTTCATTGTTCTGAATCATGGCAACACCAAGCACAGATTTATCTTTTCAATCMTATCTTTAAATCTATAATTTTAAATCTATAACTGTACAGGTTTATATGGATTTAGATTTTATATAGATTTATATAGATTTACTTCTCTTTAGAAATGGTTCTTTCATATCAATCATTAGGAAAAAACATGTATCCTGTCTTTAGTTTCATTTTCACAGCTTGACTAATGCATCAAACTGCCTATATTTTAACAAGGAGATGCTATATATCTGAGAAATAAAATAGCACAGTCCTTAGTAGAAGTTCACATTCTTCTGCTTGCCATCTTTTACCCATTTGAAGCAAATATTTTTTATCACCATGTGTCAATAAAAACTAAGAGCCAATAAAACAGCCTAGCTTGCATTGTGGCRCACTGTTAAAGAGAAATACATGGATGGCATCCAGTTTCTTTCAGGTACAGTGAATGTAATTCAGTAGAAAGCAAAAGAATCTCATTTACCAGCAATGATATTTTCTTCGAATTTTTTTTCTTAAAAGAAAAAAACAAAAAAAAGCAAAACCCAAACAACTCAAACCAAAACAAAACTATGTTTTTACTAAGACATCATTGAAAAACAAAGGTTTAAACTACCAGCATTCCTTTAAGTGGGAATCTTCAAATCTGATGATTATTTATTAGTTGATATTCTTTTTTTTGGTAATTGCCTGCTTGTTTTCACTGTTTGAGATTCTAGGACAGTATTGTTTCTACAGAGACCAAATCAGGCAATATTAGGTACTTTTTGTGATTCACAGGCAAGGCATTTTTAAAGTACAAAGCAACAGCAATTTTTGCTGGCCAACACAGTCTAGAGCCCAAAGACAAATTATTCCACCTTCAGAAAGGCACACGATGGTCATTACTATAACTTCTGTCTCCCCTTCAGCCCCTTTGCCAAGGGACAAAGGACAATAACAAGACCAGAGTGACTGAGCTCACTGTGCTTGCTACGGCTCCTGCAGCCTCTCTGAACAGATGCCATTCACCTCCAGACAACCTTTAGCAGCTATGCCTGCTACACTTCCATTTATGACCTCAAAATTTAAAAAAAAAAACAAAAAAAACCAAAAAAACCAAAAAAAACAACACCTCAACCAACAGGAAAGCCAAACCTAGGCAGATCAACCAGATTTTCCTCATGTTCAGTCAATCACTCGTTCAGAGAAGCCCACCAGCCATGTCAGAGAAGAACAGCTTTTCCAAAGCAAAGGAACCAAATGAAAACAATTCCAAGGTGAAGAAAAGGCAACCCTTTCACCCAGCAGTTAGCAAAAAGGCATTTCCAACACTCTTCCTCTTTACTGCTCTGCCTTACAACCCTCTCCAGAGAGAGAATCAGAGCAGAGCCCATTACATGAGACACAGCTCTCAAGAACACAGACAAACCATTGGATGAACAAGGCGCTGGCGCAAAAGGATGAAAGAAACTTTGGAACAAGTAATCCAAAACATTAACAAAAACAGGAGCATAACAAACCCTTGGAAATTAAACCAAACAGCTGAAATAATCCTGCAACAGCACGGCACTTCTTACCTTTGCCATCTGCGCCTGCACGCCATTTGCTTTGAGAGATGCTACTGCTTTCTGTGCTGCTGCGGGACTGTCAAAATCTACAAAACCATAACCTGAAAAATAAACAGACAAATATTTCAGTATTATCCATGTGTATGAGCACAGATAAAGATTTTATTTTTAAAAAGAAGGAAAATATTTCCATTCTTTCACATTGTYTCATGATATTCCAGTCACACTGCCCCCACATCTTATTTGCCATGCCTTTTCTCCTGAACCTAGTGGGATTTAAGGGAAGGCAATGACCTGAAGCTTCAAAGTGCTGGAAGATATGCAGCAGAGGGAGAGAATAGGCAGGTCCTTGTCTGTCCCAACRGATAAAAGGTCCCCAAGAACTTGTAGGATTCTGGTGCTCTGCAGACCTGCCCCATCTCTTCCATAAGAGGAGGTAATGGTATGGACCTTCCTGGGATACAAAACTACAGCCTGCAATGGCTCTTTCACGAGGAAACAACACCCTTTCCCTGTCGCGTGAACCCACAGAAGGGTTAAGCTTCACAAGAAGAGGGCAGCATGTCTCTGTGGCAGACTGGGGCCATCYGTGGGCAGGCAGAGCAGCCTTCCAGCAGGTGGGACCAATTCAGGGAGAAATCCCAATGTGTGCTCTACAGGCAACTGCCAGACAGCTCCAGAAGATGGTGAAATAGCAAAGTCACAGCTTGGGTTAAACCACATCCCTTTYATCTCACTGCTCTCTCTGCTGCAACAAGGGACAGATCCCTGCTGGGAATTGCTTTGGGGTATCATCTGAACATCAGCTTAGTGAGGTTAGATCTTAGGGATTGGCAGGGGATAATCACCTGCTTTTATGTGGCTTTCTTACTCTCAGTATTTGCATTAGTTCAGTATATTAATCAGCCAGTCACTTCCTATCTTCTCTTCTTCCTTCCTCATTTTTTCTTYCCTTAACCAGAAACATTGGTATGTTCACGCAAGCTCAGTGCTGTTCAGCCCCTACTGAATAGCAATAACTCTGAAAGTATTTTTATTTTCCTGAAGACATAAAATAAGGGTAAAAGGCCAAGGAATGGACTTTTCACAACTTTTAAAGCACTGAGTTCTCTCTAATCTTCAACAGCAYTCAAATGTCTCACTTACAAAGATTTAAACTGAATTAGGAAGATCTAAAAATCTCACCAAGCACCTATTAAGGTAGCTGCATRTATTTCACAATCCACCCATGGAAAACCCCTACATCTTATTAAGCAATTACAGAGCAGGTAGGCATGTGCTGCTCAGACAAGCTGTGGCCAGGGGCCACATCTTTGGCATCTCCCTGGAAAGCCATATGGATGAAACTGAACTGCCTGAAAGCTTTAATAATATTAGCACAAGCATATTTATAGCTTCTTTSCAGACATCTCCATTTACTAGGTCAATACACATCCTACAGGAGGCAACCACAGATATGATTTCCTGCTGTATGCATTTGTATTTCTTTTCCCAGCCTTTCCTCCTTCTCCTGGGAGACTTTATTGCCGTCCTCTCTGCACCAAATCTAGTTATAAGAGTGTGTGCTTGTGATCACCTTGCCCCTCAAATTACAAACATCTCTATTATTATTTTGGCAAGCATTCATTACTTAATGCAGGGGTTAGTCAGATCATGAAAGAATTTTGTGTACATGGTTGTTTTTCTTTCTTGGCTTAAATCCCATTTATAAAGTTTAAGAAAACTAAAAGAAATAAGAAAAAAGAAACAGACAAAATTATCAAAGAAACTGCTGACTTAAASAGTGTGAAATGCATTATTTTGTAGCAAAGTCAAGATCTGAACTTTTCTGTTCTTTTCTTTACTCAGTTTTCTATTTTGGTTTGTTTGGTGGGGTTTTTTTTTGGTGGGAGGAGGATTGAGAAGATGTTTTTGATAAGGCATTACTACAGATTGAGGGACTGATACAGACACTGACAGATTAAGGGACACAGGGATAACAAATCTAACAAACACTAGTGTTTGATCAACTTGGGYATGTGAGGAGTGTTTGACCTTCTCKGATTCCCTCATTTGATTTTCCTTTTACTGCAAGCCATTTTTAAATCCTCTTGTTCTACAGCACATTTTCCTTTGCAGTCCTATCCAAGCTCTCTTCTCACTGCAGAGCAGCAGTAAAGCTGATGCTGCTTTGAACTAAAAAACATGCTACAAGAGAGCAAGCGCTCTCCCTGGATTTCTCCAATGCCTTTGCCCTTTGGGAGAGCAACTTCTGGGAGGAAGGAGATACAATTAGATGCAGCTTCCATTTTCCTGACAGATCCTGACAAGAAGCCAGAGCTGCCAAGTGGGAAATCTGAAATGTCTTGGGAAGTCATGGTATGGCTTGGATCAAACACTGAGAAAATTCCTTTTTAGGACAACTAGGTGGTCTTCTCAAGGGACTATTTTTTTTTTTTTTTTTTTTTTTTCTTTTTCATGCCCAAAAACTAGGAGGTGAAAGTGCAAAACTGAGTTTTAACATTGTCATTAAAAACAGATCATGGAGCTGGATTTTTATATTTAGCATCAGTGTACAGTGCAGACTTCATTTATGAAGCAATAGGAAATTATTTTTAATATGACTTTCTACACAGCACAGTAAATTAGTTTTGCTCGCAAATATAAACCAGAATGTGTAAGAATATTCTGGTGTTKTATTATAGATATCAGGTATATCTAACATAATAAATTATTGAAGAATAACATCAGTCCATAATGTCTAAAGCCATGACTATCTTCTAAGCTTTTTTTTTCAGCAAGCACAAGGATCTATATGACCATATCAGAGATCCAGTGAGAGTCTTGAGACAAAAAAAMCCCATATCTTTAGCTGCCCATTATGCATTCTAGTATTACTACTCCCAGTCTCACTGCAAAGCTGTTCTTTTTCCTTCCCTCAAGCTCATTTCCATTCCAAGTATCTTTTTCTAGCCCTCCCCTCTCCYGACACATCTCTCCACCACACACAGAACATCAGGACAAAATCACTCCATGGCTGAAAACCCGTCCAAAGAACATCAATCTGCCACAAGGGAAGCCAAGTTCCCAGGCTGTTTCAGCATTCAAGTATCCTTACAAGAACCCTGCAATGCTATATAACAGAAAACCAGGCATGTTGCCTTTTTGTACAGTTTCCGTTCTTCCACGTAGATGTTTATAGTCTGTTAGTGACCTACACCAGCCTGTTTCATTTGTTTATAATCTCACTTCATTTTTGTGTCTCGGGCACTGACTAAATAGTGCCGGTTTTTCTGTTTGGGTTTTGGGTTTTTTAGTGCTGGGGTTTTTTGTCTTTTTTTTTTTTTTTATATATACACTTGTCTGGATGGATGAAGTTTAGCCCCCTACAAAAGCTAAAACTGGGTCTTGGAACATCCTCTCCAGTGTTCTCCACAGTGTAAATGAACATCCAAACTCGCTGTGCTGAGTCCTTCCCTCTTGCCCAGGCTGTGGCTAAAGTGGCTTATGCTCCCCGCCAGCAGAACTGGGCTGCTGTGGCTGCCCCTGGCAGGTGCACTGTGGCTGGGTTTGGCTGCCCCAGCACCAATCCCTACTCAGATAACTGTTCCCTGGCTCCTCCTGGGAAAAGGTGGAATCATCTCAATCATCTCAATCATCTCAATCCTCAGGGAAATGGTTGGAATCATCCCCTGGGAGGAATTCAGATCAAGGTCTGCCAATCAGACGCTGCTCTAAGAAAACATCTACATTTCTTTTTCTTCCTTTAAAAACAAGGGCAAGCCCCAYCAGACTGTCCCTCTGCTAGCCTCAMATTCCACAGCTTTTTTTTTCCTTTTCTTTCCTCTSCATTTTTATTGTGTGTTCACTGCCTTGTAAACATTCTGGTCAATGGATTATACATTTTCCTCCCCAGTTTTTATGCAGAACATCATGAAAAAAAACCTCAGATTCTAAACCAGGACCTTCAGACCCACAAGAATCCATCACCACCACAGGAAACCAAAACCAAAACTATTTCCCCTTTTTTCTGAAGCATCCTGACATTTTCCTTTAAGAACTCCAAACACAAATAAGGCAAGCTGCATTGTCACCTGCTGCTTTGAGAGGTGGGAATTGAACTTATCGCTAACATGAGCCCCTCAACTCAAGGGTACTTACACTGAGGGTGACTTTGCTACTCCAGTGGTACTCCAGTGCTACTCCAGGATCCCGAAGTTTTTTTTGTAGAACGACATATTCCTAATTCGTACATGCAAGCATACACACAAAGAAACCCAGGACAGTACTATCTAGAATAATTGTTAAACCTTTCCTTTACAAAATACAGTGCCTGCAATTTTGTATTGGCCTGATGCCATTAGGGCTAAATAATTAAATTGAAGAAATAAAAGTGGTGGGTTTTTTGGTTTTTTGTTTTTTTTTACCTGTGGGGGAAAGAAAACAGCTAAGCATCAGCAAACTCAAGTTTATAGCTAGCTGCAATAASTGCTACCCAAATACACTGGCAGACACTAAACATCTCTGTCTCCTATAACCTAAATGGCTGGGGGCCTCCCAGTCTCAGTTTCTCAGTTCCATAATTAAGCTTGGCAGCAGGTTCAAATGAATTAAAACTGAATGTCACTATTTCCTCAACAAATCCCTCATCCTTGTTTTTTCTTACTTGTCAGGAGAAGACCAGCAGAACAGCAATTAGTGGTAAGCAGTGCAGTGAAAAAGAACCAAGTATACACTAATTAGGTCACTCGCCAAACACGTTCATTTCATTGGCAGATTTAATCAATGTTTTCCTGAAATGTCTTAAATCTCCTATGCTAATTTAAAGTTTTGTTATTGTTGTTACTTTAAACACAGATGGGATGCCTGGAGATTTTCAATTGCTTTCCACAAATCCATTTCAAAATAACAACCCCTCATATAGTATATCATCAAAATTTCGGCACAGGTTTTAGGAAATGGCCTCTAATTTTATGCCAACATTTTTGTGCCTGCAAATACCTGTGGGTGCAATTTTGTGGATTTAAGTAATTGCAGGTGTGTAGAGCTCTTAGACATCAAACTCTGAATTGCCCTGACTGATTGGGTACTTAGGGGTAATGCCAGATAATTTAAGAGACTG